GTTTCTTTTCTTTTCGTTTATTGCTTGGGCTTTGCTTTGCGCGCTGCTGTGCGCCGCCCACTAACTGTTTCTCCTGCTGGGGGATTCTCTTTTCCGCTCCGTGTGTGTGTGTGTTGGGGCTGCCTGCTGTGCATCGTTTCTCTTTTCTCCCCCCTGCAGACCCCAGCTGCTCAAGCGATATTGAATGATGGCGACAGTGTGCCGCGTTGTGTGTGTGTTGGCCGCTGCTCTCTGCTCCACGGCCTTGTGCGCGGCTGCTGCTGCTGCTGATACTTCCGCTGCGCTTCTCACAGTTGGTGCATCTGATGTGTCGGCGAAGCAGACAGTCATCACTGCAAAGACGGAGGCCGTGGATGCAGCAAGTAAAGCTGAGACAGCAGCAATTTCTTTTCAAGATGCCCTGAGTGAAGTGCAGGCAGCGCATGAGGCGGCCAAGAAGGCAGCAGAGGACGCAAGGGGTATTTGACGGAAGGTGCCGCGAAAGCAGGGAGGGATGGTGACCGGGCTTCCCAAAAAAAATGTTTGCCGCTGTAACGTTGCTGAAGGAACTTGTACCTGCTGGCTCTAGGGTGGATTGTTTACAGGTGTCAGAAGACGAGAAGAATGCCAAAAAAGGAATGAACGTTTCTTAGTGGGCTGTAACGAACGCTACCAAGGCAGTGTCGTACTCTGAGTTTCTGCCGAAAGAGGCGAATTGAGTGAAGCAGAATGCAAACGGAGCCATGAAGAAGGCCGAGCAATCGGCGTCAAGTATACCAGGCGAAGCGAAGAACGTTGTGGCTGCCGTTGAGACTTCCCAGCAACCAGGCGATTTTTTTTTGGCTTCTCTCTCTCTCCTTATTAGGCGTGGGCAGCCCTTGTCCACCAGCCACCATTGTAGCGTACGTCTATTGCTGCTTGCCGACGGTATGAAAAAAATGTCACTTCGTTTCGTTGTAGGCGTTGTTTCTTTTTGGTGCTTTTCTGTTTGGGTTCGGGTTGGTTGTGTATTTTGTTATCCGTTGGGTTGCGACCGCGGCTGTGAGGAAACTCGTGCTGGAGAGTGCGGCCGGCTGTTTCCCCCCACCCGGGGTGCCGCAGGCCTACTAGCCCCGCCGTAGGGGAGGCGCTGCGTGTGGGTGGTGCGTTTTGTTGTTGAGTGGGGCGTGAGGTCCATCAGCTGATGCGGCACGCCGAGGTGGTGGATGGACTGCCCCCTGTCCTGCATGGTGGGCGTGGTGTCCGCACTGGAGGGCCGTTGAGGACACAGCCTTTCCACTGCAGAAGGGCACTGGGCAGGCTTCTTTGTGAAGCATAGCTTCTCCGCATTACCCCCAGCCCCAGCAAAGCGGCATGAGAGACTTTTTATGCCGGGGCGGCTCAGTAGGTGCAGACTCGTCTCTTTCTGCTGATTTCGTTGGCTCGGCTTCACAGGGTCCGTTCTGAGTCTGTGTGTGTCTGACGATGTGGAGCCTTGTGTGCCCACATTTGCTGTGGCATTGGATGCTGGCATGTCGGGCATACAAAGTAAGTGAGAGGCATCTCCGCAGAAGTATCATCCTGAGGCCTCGGGTGTTTCCTTTTTGTGGGCATTCCGTTTCCCTCACGGAGCCTGCTGCAGTGGGATGTGACTGGGATGTGTGTGGTCAAGCCAATTTCAAGCACAGCATGCATTGCATTGCCTTCCGCTGCTGTGGTGGCAGTGAGTCTTTTTCCACCCGGCTTATTTTTGGGGGCTTCTGTGGTTTGGGATGTGTCCTCTCTTTGGTGTTTCGGAGGCTGTGATAATGCTTCTGTGAGTTCTCCCTGGTTTATTGCATCGGCTGTTGGTGAGGGGGTACTCTCCCTCTCATGCCTGAAGAGGCTCTGTGTGGCACTGTCCGTTTTCTTGTGCCGCTTCAGCCGGTCCGTCAGGGTGGTTGTATTTGATGTGGGTGGCCATTCCTCCAGCGTTGCCGGTGGTGCACACGTACGAGGAGCGGCAGGGGCAATACTACGTCCCGGCAAGACGCTTCTGGTCCTGGCGCTGTGCGATGCCGTGAGCCTGGCGCTGTAGAGTCCTCCAGGAGGCGAACTTTGCTAAAGCTCGACTTCTCCCGCCAACATGAAGTACTGGACCATTGCACCGCGATGGGTTGTGCCCCGTACCGCTGGGGGTTTGTGAGTGTGTGTGTGTAGCTGCGTGGCTGTAGGGGCGAGGTGGCGATTGGTCACCGCAACGGCACCTCTTGTTTTGGAGAGAGGGTGGCGAAGGTTTCAACGCCAAGCAAGCAAGAAAGGGAAATGAATAACGTCTGACCATTGTTGTGGGCGCGTGCGGTTTTGCTGTATGATTCGTGCAACCGAGCAGCAGAGAAGGGGGTGAAGTAATACACGGCTGACTAGACAGCAATCGGCTCTTGTTCCTGCTGCTCTTGTGGTAGTTCTGCTGCGGCCTCACTGGGCGCTTTTGCTTCCCCATCTCTCTCTCTCTCTCTCGCAGACTCCGGTGACGGAAGTGATATTTGATAATGGTGGCGGCACGTCGTGTGATGTGCGTGTGGGCCCTCGCCCTCTGCTGGGCGTCATTCTGCGTGGCGGCTCAGGAGACGGTGGAGGCGAAAATGTGTGGCGACAAGAGGCTTAAAGAAAACGAGGAATGCCAAAAGGGTGTAGTTGTGACAAAAAGTTCAGAAAATGAGCCAGATCCAAAAGATGAATCAAAAGGTCAGGAGATGAGCGCACAAGAAGATAGGGATGGGTCGGGGGAGGTAGATAGGAATGGTGAAGCTTGTCCGACAAAGACCCCGTCGCCTACAGGTCCTAAGTGCACTACGCAGAGGATTGAAGAAAATCGGCAAGATCAAATCCAGGAAGGGAGCCGTATTTCCGGCTTGCCAAGCGGTTCTGATAAGTTGTCAACGGAAGATTTTTCGGAAACTGATGTAGACAGCATACCTGAATGCCCTGAAGGAAGGGAGGCGCAAAGGCCAGTTTTTAAGGACAAAACTTGTGTTCCCAAAGGTCAACCTGGGAAGGTTTCAAAAGAACCCCAAAAAGGTATTGATGGCAAGGACGTGACCACCACCCCTGACCGAGGTTCTCATCTCAACCCTGCACCACCAAGAGACGGACCTAACGGGGGGCCCAAGACGGTGGGATCCTCACTGGGAGGGCACATGGGTGCTGTCACCGTGCAGACAGGCCATGGAGCCGGTGCTTCAAACAGAGCCTCGGCTCCACCGCCAGCGGGTTCCCCTGCAAAGACGGATCAGGCTGCCAGCGGATCCAGTTCTGAGAAATCTGCACTTGCTTCATCCCCAGCGGTGGCGGGAACTCAACAGAGCCCGCCAGATGGTGGTGGCGACGCTCAAACAGAATCCTCATCGAACAAAGCAGCGGTCACTCTAAAGGAGACCACTCCTATTGAAGAAGAAATTAAGAAAGAGGCGCCTGACACCACCCAAGTCTCGTCTACTACAACAAACCCCGAAGCTTCTGCTGCAGGGGTCAAGCAGCCCGAAGCGGATGCCTCCACGGCCACCAAAACAGACGCGACCACCGCCACGATGGCTGCTGCTCCTCTGCTGGTGGCAGCGCTGGCCAGCATTGCTGTGCTCCAAGCGGTGTGGTAGAAGGACAAAACAGAACCTACTAATCTGTAATTGCTTGCGGCCCTTGTGGTCACTGGAACCCACATGTTGCGGTTCTTTTCATTCTCTTCCTTTATTGCTGCCCCGTTGTGGGCTCGGCGCCGCCTCCTCCGTCTTAGAAGGGTGCGTGCATGGCGTGCAGCCCCATGTGTGCGCTGGGGTGTTGGACGCCGCACTCCCTCTCATTGTTTGGGGTCGTTGGTCTTCTGTGCATTAAGCACTGGTGTGTGCCCTGTCGACACCAGACTTCTTTAAGTGATACCACTTGCTTTGGTGCAGTCTGTGCACATGGATGGTATGCTCTTGTCGATGCCTGTTGCTCATCCCCGCCATGTGAGTGTGTGTGTGTGTGCTACCAGCTTTGTGTGCCCCTATTCTCAGACGCTAGCTACTCAAGCCATACTAAGGAAGATGAAGAAGGTACGCCACGTGGTTTGTGTGCTGGTCCTCGCATGGTGTTGCTGCACAGCCCTGTGCGTGGGTGCTGCTGTGCCTGACTCAGCGGCAGATCCAGTTCTGAAGGATGCGGGAGCACAGATTGCGGCGAAGGAGGCCGAAATCACAGCCCTCACAAAAGATCTCGACGCAGCGACGAAGGATGAGGGTGCCGTTGCTGCTGTGAGTGAGGCAGTGAATGGGGCGAAGACGGCAGCTGAGGCTGTCAAGCAGATCGTGACGGATGTGAAGGTGCTTCTGGACGGGGACGTCAGGTATGCCGTGAAGCGTACTTCTGTCGCTCTGGCGGATACTCATGACGCGGCGTTGGCGCTAGTGATTCTTCTGTTTCCCAATGATCATGATGATGTGCCCTCAAAGTTTGTGTATCCGAAGGAACTTACGAGAGAGGGGGCAAAGCAATTGGCGGAAGCTGCAGTTGCAAGCGCCACGGAGGCAAAAGCCGAGGCAGCGAATGTGCTGTTGAATGCCACTGAGACAGAGGAGAAAATAAAGGCCATGGTTCAGAAAGGAACTTCGGCACTGCAGCGCGTTACGGATGTGGCGGGTAAATATGAGAAGGGGACGGAGGCCTTTAGGAGCGCAGTGAAGGCAGCAGAGGAGGCAGCCAAACAAGCTATTTCTTCAGCGGAGCAGTATCTGAAGGAGATGAAAAACGTCACGGAACCAGCACGAATTATTTCCGAAAAAGCAAACGCATCGCTGACAATGGCAAATAAAGTGTTGGAAATAGAAAAACTAACTGACACTCAGCGGAAACCCGATAACCGTGAAGAGTTATCTGTAATAATGGGGGATTCCTATGTGGGTATGGAGACTGTCCTGGAGGCAATGAGGACAACTCTATACGCAAGGGATGCCGCTCACAATGTGTCGAAGGCTGTTGATGCTGTGATCACCTCCGCCACTGGTGCGGCACGGAGGGTTCAGAGTGAACTGGACAAAGCCCAGATGGGCAAAGCAAAAGCCGGGGAAATGTTGACGAAGTTAAGGACTGAGCTGGAACAATTGACTCTGACAACCACTGCCGCTGTAGGCGGAGGCACTGCCACTCATCCATCGTCAACGGGACCCACAACTAACCCTGCGCTTGTGCCTGACGCTGCCCCTGTGAGCAACGGCAACATTGCGGAAAGCGAGAAGCGTCCTGCTAAACACACTGATGGCAGCAGCGCTGTGTGGGTGCGTGCACCGCTTATGTTGCTGCTGTCCTGTGTGGCTGTGTGGTAAGACTTCTGTGTGTGTGTGTCTGTGTGTTCATAGGACGATGATGCTCCTGCCGTAATTGTGTTGAGTGCTGAGAACTGCACTCCTGATTGTTAAGGTTCTTTTGTTTCGTTTTCATTGCTGCCCCGTTGTGGGCGTAACGCCGACCCACTTGCCCTCGACGACACGCATTGTGGGAAGGGGAGGCGTGGTTTCTTTTCTTTTCTTGGGCTTTGCTTTGCGCGCTGCTGTGCGCCGCTCACTAACTGTTTCTCCTGCTGGAGGATTCTCTTTTCATCTCTGTGTGTGTGGTGCGTCCTTCGCTCCGTCCCTCGCGCCGTGTCTGCGCCACTCACACCGGGACACACATAAAGGGACGGGAGCGCCAGCAGTATAATTGCGTCCACGAGCGCTG